GGGCCAGGGGCGCTGGGGGAGCAGGACGCCGCCCCCGTCTTGGCGTCGCCCCTCCTGGCCAGAATTGGGGGGCAAGCCGCCCCCTAGGGAGTACCCGGCGCTTCCTTAAGGTGGCCTTTGTCGCGGCAGAGGCACGCGGGTAGCCGCAGGGCCAGGGAGGAAAATGTCCGCTCCTCTGGTCGCAGCCGCTTTTCTTGGCCCCTTCGAGGGAACTTGAGTGGAGTTAAGCAGAACCGGGGCTCGTGGACTCCCCCCGCGCGCTTTGAAGGTGTCCCTGGATGCAAGGGCGGGTCAGCCCCAGGCCCGCTGTCTAGATAGCCCCTGTCCCCGCGCCCAGAGCAAGCCCGAGTGGACAGCGGCCATTCTTGTGGACTTCGGGAATGAAGTGAGTCACCCTGGATCCCACAGCTCCAGCGGCGCCGGCCTCTGCCCTCCTTGGTGTCGGCCCTTCTGGGCGGCTAGGGCCCTGCTCTGGGGTGGATGACAAAGGCGAGCCCTGCGGGGCGGAGAGGAGCGTGCAGAGGCGATATTCCGGGAGTCTGGGAGAGGGAGTCTCGGTGCCTGCATGCACAACGTTGGGGACAGCGCGGGGTCAGACACCGCCTTCACTGTGTCTGCCCCTCTGGTCTGTCTGCACAGCTGAAGAGACTCACCCGCTGTGGCTGGGCCAGGGCGGCTGCCCCTTGCACGGCTGGGCACTGACTGCAAAGAGGCTGAGGCGGGCACAGGCCAGGGTGGGTGGAGGTAGGGAGGAGCTCAGCCTGGCCTGCAGGCGCAGAGTTCTCCGGCTGCTGTGTGACAGGAGGAGGGGATCCTGGCTGTGGCCGGAGGTTCTACTTTAGTCCCTGTGCTAGAAGTTCCCACCAGAGACACCTGAGGTGGCAGGAATGGGCAGTCCTGGCGCCAACACAGTCCCCTTGAGCCCCCAGCCTGGCCCCAGTAGAGGGTGCTGAAGGGGGCTAGGGAGACTCAGATGGGCGTGTGACCAAGGGGCCACATGTGCAATTCATTGAATACTGGCTGTCATCTCCCATGAGGGAGGCAGCACTGTGAGGTCCTCAGTTTCCCGCGGTAACCACCTTGTGGCAGTGTGTTTGCTTAGAGAAGGCTCCCGGTGTCCTTGGCACAGTTGGCGAGTTGGGGCCTCACCTGGACACCAGTGCTGGCACGTGCCGCCCTTGTGCGTAGGGCATACCTTGTCCTCTATTCTCTCGTCTTGCATGTAGGGAAGAATCAGTCCCTGTGGTCTTTGTGCGTCCCTTGCCAGCTCAGGGACGGCTGCAGGCGACCAGGGCGTGCCAGGTGGTCCCATCTACACACTCACAGAAAATAAACACGTTCCTGGGCCGCATGCAGGTGGCCGCCGGACCTCACGCCTCTAGCTGGCCGCCCTTGGACGTGTGGGAAACCCACTTTCTTCTGGGCGGAGGGAAGGTGTCAGATGTCATCTTCATCCGTGGCAGGCGGGTCACAAGGGAAACACGGCTGCCCTCTCACCTGTGCCGCCTGGATGCCACCTGATCCCCAGGAGGGGCTGCCCTGATTTGATTCGTAGATGGGACAGTTTGGGAGACTCACTCTGCTCACCTGAGTAGTAAGTGGCAAAGCTAACAGAGGAGCTTCCTCGGCTGTTGAAATAAATCCTGCCCTCAGACCCTTCCAGGGCTCTCTCGAGCCCTGCTGGCTTTCTGACTCCCTGTCCTGTGTGGTTCCTGCCTCTTTCTCCAGACAGCTGGGGCAGGAGGTCATCTGGATGCTCTGCGGGGTCCCTCTTCTGGGCACAGCTGGCTGCCCCTTTCTCCTTGTCATGGAGGTACACAGGGACTGGCCCAGCTCTAAGGCTGGTCTCATGTACCACGCTAGAATGCCACAGGGTTCCACGGTGACATCCTATCCTGTTTTCTGAGGATTTGGAGTTCCCCTCCCGCTTTATCTCAGCCCGGTTATTGGCCTAGAGGAGCCTCTTAACAGTGTGCTGTCTCTGAGCTCCTGCTGTATGCAGATCTGGGGACTAGGAGACGCCACTGAGAGGCCCCCACTGCCTGCTTTGTTGGGTCCCCCTGAAGTGGGCAGGATGCAGTTTTTTTCAGAGTGGCTGGAAGCCACCCTGGGTTTAATTGAGCTAATTAGGGTGGCCACAATCTGCTCCTGAGGAAGGGCCAGGCATCTGGGGTGCTGTCCCAGCAGCCAATGTTGCCCTGTGGTGGCCACTTCCGGGGACCATCCAGCTCGGTCTTGCCCATATCACCCCGGTGTCTGCTTCTCACTGGTCACTGGTGGCCACTCTGCAGAGCAGAGCAGAGCAGACTGGGCTCACACTCCCACCCTGGCTGTCCCTTCTGTGTCCCTTTTCCATCCGTGTCTGTCACGTGCAGTGTCCTGGCTGGAAGATCTCCCCACTTGCAGCCTGGTTCTTCATGGGGAGCCGGCTCGGGGTCCCTCCTCCAGAAGCCCCCCCCGATTTCTCTCTCAGGCCTCCGAGGCTGCACACGGTCCAGTTGTGCATGCCTTGTCCTGTCCACCCGGGCGACTGCAGTGGGGCCATCGAGTACAGAGGCTTCCTGTGGCCAAGGTTCACCATGTTGGGGTTCTGGGGTGCAGAGAAGGGGACAAAGGGAGGCTAAGTGCAACAAGGCACTTTTTCTCTTTGGGTAGAGTTTCTTTTTTTTTTAAATTTGCGAACAGCTCAGGCTCTAGGAAGTTCCCAAACAAATAACTTGCAGGTGAGTCGGTGGCTCCCCGTTTCCTTCCAGCCTCTCTCTGCCTCTCTTGATTTCTGTGACCTTGACACTGGAAGGTCATGGACTCTTTGCAGCTCTCTCCCCCTTTGCGGCTGTGGAGGGACCTGGATGCCTCAGATTTGGGCTCTCACCTGCAGGGTGGCCCAAGAATCGATTAGCTGTGTCCCATCGCCAGGACTTGAGTTTAATTTCTCCACGAGGACGGGTTGAGCCAGTCTTTGTTGTGACCCCCTTAAAGACTCTTTGAGAGGATGTCAGTGGGATTTCTCCCTTTGCCTCCCTCCTCTTCCTCTTCTCTCCTCTTCCGCTTTCCCTCTCTTCCTTCCCTCCTTCCTTTTTACTTCTTTTCCCCTCCCAGTTTGGACTGTTGCCTGTTTCATTTCATCGGTGTGATCTGCCACTGTGGTTACTTATCTGGGGTGCGGTGGCCTCGGGCCAGCGGCGGGGACTGCCCTGGCTCCTGTCCCCGGCCCCTTCTGCCCCTCCCTGGCCCTTGCCGACTTCTGACATGAGATGTTCCAGGCTCTTTTCGTGTTTCTCTTTGTCCTGGCTAGGAATTGGCTGTTTCTCCAAAGAGCACTGCTTGCTTGGTAGTGGAGGGGGAGTTTAGAAGCCAAGGTCAGTTGAGGGGTGTTCAGGGCTCCTGGGCTGTTCCTGGTTCCAGGCCCTGTCATTGTCACACCTGGGAATGAGAATATAGGTGTGCACACACGCGTGTGTCTGTGTAACACATATATGCCCATATGTATCACCTGTGTGCTTGTTTCTCATCATACCAGCACTACCAAATAGAAGTGTAGCATGACTGCCTCTGTCTTTAGACACGTTGGGGCCAAGTTCTGTGACTTATTCCGGTACGCCGAGGCAGGAGGATTACAAGTTGGAGGCCAGTCTAGCAAGTTAGACCCTTTTGCAAAATTAAAAAACAAAAGAGGGGGCAGGGGATTTAGCTCAGTGGTTTCACCTCCTGCCTCACAAGTGCAAGGACCCGACTTCAATGCCTGGTACCCCCCAAAAAAAGGGGGTGCCAGGAATGTAGCTCAGTGGTAGAACACTTGACTAGCGTGTGTGAGGGCTTGGGCTCAATTCCTAGCACTGCCAAAAAAAAAAAGTTTTAAGGCCAGTGATGTAGCTCAGTGGTGCCAGGCCTGCCTGGCAAGTGCATGGTACCGGGGGAAAAAAAATTGTAGTGGTCATATTAAAAAAGTAAGAATGTGTAATACTGATTTTAATAACGTGATTTACTTAACCAATGCAGCCTGAACCTTCGAGGTGAAAATCAGATCTTTGGTGGTGCTGACATGTCACTCTTTTTACAGGTAGAGCACAGGTGTACCTGTCCCATGAAAACACAAGCACACACCTGGGGCGTCACAGTGTCACACGGGGAGGTTGCATAGGAAACCTGTCTGAAGAGGCTCGTTGGAGACAGTAGTGAAATGAGGCTGAGGAGCCCTGATTTCCCAGAGTTCCTGTTTCTCCCTGGTGGGGCTGTGTGGCTGTGGTAAGGGCTTGTCTGGGGGGCCGGGTCCCGAGACTGTGGTCAGGAGCCACCGAGGAGATGAGTGTGAAGTCTGCCCGGGCTGCAGAGGGCGGAGCCTGGCACCCTCGTGGGTGTATGGACCCAGAGAACCGGCTGTGGGCTGGACCAGGAAGAGCCAAGGAGGCCAGTGTGGGCCTCGCAGAACCGGGAATGGGGCTGAGCTGCCCTGGACGCAACCCTGCTGGGGCTGCTTGTCCTGTGGAAGGCCACTGCTCTGGCCTGGGCCGTGACCCTGGGCTGCCCGCTCTGAGGTCCTGGCATTGGTCCCTTCCCCGGGTCAGCTGTCTGGGCCACGCTCTGAGCTGGCGGTGCAGGTCTGGGTAGGGGCAGTGCTGCAGGCTGGGTCAGCTGTGTCTGCAGCCGGCCTCTGTCTGACTCACCTGGCCCCGGGTCTCTCTCTGCAGAGGGAACGTGGTGGGTTCTGTGCCTAGACTGGCCCTCCTCAGTGCTCTGGGCACAGGGACTGTGCAGAGTTTCACAGAATTTCCACGCCAGCATATTATTTCTTTGTCCTCCACTGATTTAATCATGTAAAGAGCATTATGTTCAAAGCCATGAAGACCTAAGCATTGAGCCCCACAGGCTGCCCCAGGCTGTCCTTCCCCCTGCAGTGTCCTGTAGCCAGCCTGGTCCCCTGGATCATCTGTGCTCAGCCACACCCAGCATGTGGCGCGGACCCCACTTGGTCATCCCTACCTAGGTGCCCCCTTCTGGTGCCCCCTCTGCGTCGCCCCCGCCCCTGGCGCTCCAGTGTCAGCCTCTAGGCTGTCCCAGGGGTTCCCAGTGCCAGCCCCTGCCCTTTGGCCCCTCATGGACTCCCTTTTCCCTTTCTTTCTGCCTGGCTCCTATAGCCCTCTGCCTAGAGCTTTCCTGCCCCCTTACCAGCTCTGGTTGCCAGGAGGGCTCCCGGTCCCTTCCTGGCCCTTTCCCTGTGCTTTGCATTGTCTGTGTTTATCCCCAAAGCCCTCAGCACAGGCTGGGCAAACAGGAAGTGTCAGATGAGAGGAGAGCAGAGCTTTGTGCTTGTGCCGAGAGCCACTTTAATGACCTCGCCCTTCAGCCCTGCGCCTGGGATGCGGTGGCCACCGACAGGTCATCAGAGATACCTGCCCTAATGAGCTGCTCGAGTGGCCACAGAGGTTCCCCTAGGTCAGTCTTACGTGAGATGACAGTGGCCACCTGAAGCTGTCAGGAGGATCTAGAGTGAAAATGTGGGGCTGTCTCAGAATCCTGTGCCTGTGCCACAGGCCTGGGTGGCTGTTCCGTCACTCCCGCAGGTGGACACGGCCCTCGCTTCCTTCCTGTGGCATCTGGAATTGGGGCCCCAGCAGCAGCTGCTTGCCTTCATCCCCCACTGGCTCCCCGTGCAGTGTGGTGCACAGGAGGGCTCTGTCCCTGCCCCTGTCCCTGACCCTCCCACCTGTCTGCAGG